GGCAAGGGGCGTGCCCTCGAACCTATACCACCCTCTTCTTGGCCCCCTCAGGCCCCGAGGGCCCAGAATTCCCTGCCCAGATGGTCCTGAGCCCACCTGAGCTTCTTCCCCGTCAGCCCTCCGAGGCCTGGCAGGGTGGCTGGTGTGGTGAGGATGAGGGTGTGGGCTGGCGGAGGCCCTCTCTGCCCGGGAAGGAGCGAGGTGGAGAGGGAGGGAAGGGGTGGGGAGGAGCGGCGCTCTGCCTGCAGGTCTCTGACAGGAACACGTGGAGCTCAGGTTCAAGAGCGTGTTCGTGACGTGTTCCCCACAGGAACACACAGAGCTCCCTCACCCACAGCCCTCCCAGCCAACGCCAGCCACATAAACCTGCCAAGAGCCACTCCGGCTGGCACAGGCCCTCTCGGAGTTTCCGGGCGGGGGTCCAGGGCAGGTGGGGGCCTGCCCCGGGCACAGCCGGCCTGCCTGACTCAGAGGGCGGGGTGGCCAGGGAGCTCGCACTGCCCGGGGCACCCCGGGGACCTGTCTGGCCAGTTTGCCCATACTTGCCACATTGGCATTGAATGTTTAATTCCTCACACGTATCACCCTGGGGATGGTTTCATGCAGACCAGGGTGGGGAAGAGGGAACCCCAGAAGGAAGTATAACCCTCCCACGACCAGCTGACCCAGGGACTGGGCTCTGAACGCTGTGGACAGGCTCTGCTGAGCCCTGGGCCCGGCTTTCCCTTGGAGGTGAAGGAAGTGGGAGAAAGGGTCCTTCCCACCCCAGCCAGGCCCACGTGGCGTGGGCAGGACTGGGGAGGGAGACCAGTTCGGGTCCCATCGCTGCCTCATTGAGCTGTGGAATGGGCAGGCCCTGTCCCCGAGGGTCACTCCTGTGTTGAGGGGCCCGCTTTGGGGGGGCCTCTAGAGAGCTGACCACACTGGGAATTACTCTAACCCAGTCGCAGCAGGGGGACCCTCCCGTGGGTGAGGAGCAGGGACGGGTGCCAGTTACCTGAGAATCAATCAGGTCCTTCTCGTACTAGGCCAATGGCTGCCCGTCACCTGAGGAGGCATTTCCTAGTCCTCTGAACGCCCACTCCAACAGAGCGAGGACGCTCCAGGGAGGGCAGACACTGCTGTTGTCCTTACCCCTCACCGTGCCCTCTCCCCCTCTCCCTTCTCTCCCCTCCTCCCCCGCCCCGCCCCATCGCAGGCTCCTGTGGGACCTGACAGGGAGGGTGCGCTTGGAAGACAAAACGACCAGGTCCTGGTGGAACAGGAAGAGCACGGGCCTGGCCGGGCTGAGCCTGGCTCCTGCTGCCCCACTGGGTGGGGCGGGAGGGCACGGAGGGAGAGGCCCAGCTGGTTAGGACGGTGCCACTCCCCACCCGGCCTGACTCGGAGGGGCTGGGAGTGTGTCTGTGTGTGGACCACACCCACAGGAGCTGTGTCTTCCCGCTTCTCCTCCTTCGTGCCCCGGCCTCCTGCCCCAGCTGGAAGACGGCAAATGGCCTGGCCCGCGGCCTAAGGGCGAGGAGCCAGTTTCCCCTCAGCCCAGGAGCCGCTGATGAAAGGAGATGGGGCTGCTGTGTACCTTGTTACCTAAGTCGGGGAGCACAGCGATGGCCCCGGGATATGGGTCATCAGGCCAAGGGTTCTAAGCTAAGGTGCCCATCGGAGGGCTTCCGGGGCCCAAGAGCCCTCGGCATAAGCAACATTGCAAGTATGTGGCCCAGAGCCTCGTCTCAGTCTCAAAGGGGTCCGTGTCCCCACAGAAGCAAGACAGCCTGGTGCCCAGCAGGCCCAGCTGCCAGCAGGAGAGAGAGGCAGGCCGGAGGTGCAGGTGGTTCTGCAGGCTGGTGCTGGGAGGGAAGATCAAAGCTTCTAGATAGTGGGTGGAGGGAGAGTAGAATGACTTGAATAGAGCTTGGAGCATGGAGCCAGGCTGCAGGGGTTCAAGTCCCAGCTCCGCTACTTAGGAGCTGTGTGACCTCAAACAAGTTCCCGCCACACTCTGCGCTGCACTTTCCCCTCTGTGCGACGGGGCTTAACGTCAGCACTTCCCTGATTCCCGATAGGTGGCTGTGACTGACACACCCCGGAACACTGCTCGCCACTCCACCTGCCCGTCCCTGTTCAGCAGGCACCAGTGGGCTCCGGAGGCGAGGGGCGAACTTCCCTTTTGGGGTTCAGTCCCTGCCTCTGTAAAACGAGGCCGGCGTGGACCTCATGAGCCCCTTGGAGTTGGCCGTTTTCCACGTGTTCCTTCTCTGGCGCTCACCAGTGAGGGGGTGCGAGTGTGCTGGGGACGCCCCACCTCCTGGGCTGGCTCTGGGGCTTGCCTGGAAAGGCCGCTCCCCGAAAGCAGCCTCAGGTCGCCAGGCCTGGCCAGCTGGCCAAGCCCCCTCCGGTGGCCGCCTGCCCGACTGGGGTCTGCAGGGCCCCTGAGCCAGGACCTGGTTGGCCCAAACCAGATATCACCAGAGTGTCCAAACCAGAACTGAGAGCAGAAAGGCTGGGACTTGTCCTGGTCACCAAAGGGACCCAAAGTGGGTGGGTGGGGCCTACAGGGTGCCAGCCCATCAGGATAAACTCAGCATCAACCTGTTCCATGTTGACGCAGATCTGGTGGAGAAACCAGGACAGCAAGAGCCACTCCAGGGGGGAACAGCCATTTATCTCAATATTTCACAACCAGACTGGGTCTGGGCGCGTCAGCCACGGGCCCACCTGTCTGCGATCTGAGTATGTGTGCTGGGGGGTGTGAGGGGAGAGGATCAAATCACCTCCAGCAATAGGAAAACGACTTGGTCTGTATTTATGGGTGCAGTGACCCCTGTAATAGGTCTATGCACCCTAGAAACAAAGGTAGGGCTGACTCGTTTGCCTTATGCCTTTTTGTTTTCTTTCCGTGTTTGTCTGTGAATTGTTTTCATAAACAGAAAGTAAATTATTTAAAGCTGTATTTCCAGAGGTCTGTGTGCTCAGCCCTCCACCCAGAGGCCTTGGGGATACAGCAAGGAGAATGTAAGGCTCGGTCTCTATCCCTCCTAGAATCTCAGCTCTGGTGGGTGAGGCTGGATACACCAGGAGAAAAAATGGTGGTGGAGAAAGGTGGTTGTGCCAGGCAGTGCTGGGCAGAACCTGCCGGTGTCCAGGACCACGGTGCGGGTGCCTGAGGTCCAATAGACCCTGGGCACTCGGGCCAGGACTTGGTGCCTCATCGGTGCAGGGTACCAATCCTCACAGAGCCCAGAGACAGCACTGTCCCGCCCAGGACCCCTGACAGACAGGAGTGAACCTAGAATTGATGGGGCTGACTGCTGAGACTCTAGGCCTGGGCTGTCCAACAAAAGCCGCTGGCACACATGCTTCAGAGCACCTGAGACGTCGCTGTTGGAAGTGGGGGGGGGGGTGCTCTAAGTGCAGTACCCCACATTGTTGTTGTTAATCCTCACCCGAGGATATGTTCCCATTGATATTTATTTATTTATTTATTTATTTATTTATTTATTTATTTTATTGATTTTGTACAGAGAGGAGGGAGATAGAAACATCGATGAGAGAGTCATCGATCAGCTGCCTCTTGCACACCCCTTACTGGGGATATGCCCGCAACCAAGGTACATGCCCTTGACCAGAATCGAACTCGGGACCTTTCAGTCCGCAGGCCGACGCTCTATCCATTGAGCCAAACCAGTTTCGGCCCCATTGATTTTTAGAGAGTGGGAAGGGAAAGCGAGAGACAGAGAGAAACATTGATGTGAGAGAGACACATCACTTGGTTGCCTCTGGCATGCACCCCAACCAGGACTGGGGAACCTGCAACCAAGGCACGGGCTCTTGCCCGGAATCAAACCTGGGATCCTTTAGTCCAGTGTTTCCCAAAGTGTGGTACGCAGACCCCCAGGGGTACGGGAAGAGTTTGGTGGGGGTACGCATTGCACCGGAGTTTGGTGGAGATATGCACTGCACCGTGCTTAGCTGCGCCTAATTCTACGTTCTCATGAGTACGAGGGGTACTCAGCGTTACGAAAATTATAGAAGGGGTACACATATGTCAAACGTTTGGGAAACACTGCTAGTCCATGGGCCCATGCTCTATCCACTGAACCAAACCGGCGAGTGCAAGATTTTAAAGACTTAGTGTGGAAAAAAGAACGTAAAATTTCTCATTGGTATTTTTCCCACATTGACTCAATGTTGACATGATAATAATTTGAATACGCTGGGTTAAGTAAAATACGTTATGAAAATTAATTTTACCTATTTCTTTTAAGGTAGCTACTAGAACACTTAATAATTACATACGAGGCTTACATGGTATTTCTATAGGACAGCGCTAGTCTAGGCTGTCCCAGAAAATCCAGAAAAAAGAACCAGTCACAGAGCAGTCTCCCTTGTCAAAGAGCAGGAGTCCATCACAGGCTCCAGAAGGGAGTTTTGGGTTGTTCTGTGTGTGTGTGTTTTGTAGTTTCAGATCTACAAGCAAATGCCCTTCTCCCACGGGCGGCTGCTCTTTGTCCTTCAAGACAGCTCACGTGTCACCTCTTCCAGGAAGTCCTCCTTGATCACCCCTATTACTGGATCAACTGCCCCTGTTCTGGCCCATGCTCTAATAGTCTGTTCATTCACTCGTGACCTGCCTAGAGAGCTGCAATGTTGGCTCAGTCACCTCCACATCCCAGCACCTAAGGAGGGCCTGGCACGGAGCAGACAGCCATCAGTGATTATGAAATATGAACCCTCCTTAGCTGGAGGTACTCACCACTGCACACAAGTTCCCCTTAACCTCTCCCTGGGTTTCAAACACCCCCGATCCCAGCCTTTCTGCTATGAGTCTCAGCCATGCCTCCTCCCAGTAGCCACCCTGGGTTGGCATTGGAAGAAAGGGAATGGGCAGAGGGTGAGGCTGGTGTCCACTAGCCCAGGGCAGGTGGGGCTGCCTCCTCCGTGGCCGCCGAGGTGACCCGCCCAGAGAAGACCCTCAGACCCCAGCGCAGCGCTGTACTCACCAGCGGAAGGAAGGTCAGCAGGGGCCGAACTCTGGGCCGAGCCTTCAGTGTGGCTGTTCCGGACTCGCTCACCGTGTCAAACCGATTGTCTCCATAGTAGATCCCATCTAGAGGGGAGACAGGTGAGGGGAGACCGTGAGCTGGAGATCAGAGGCACGTTGGCCACTGAGTTCAATCCGCCCCGTGGTTGGCCGGTTGACTCGGACCCCACAGATGTGCTCATGGGGCAGGATTGGGGGGACTTCCGGGGCCGGTTTCTTGGGGTCTTCTGCAGCCTTCCGGGGACGCTCAGCTCCCAGCGGCCATCTCTCTCCTGAGCCATCCCCTGCAGGTCTTACACTGTCCCTCTCACAGGGTGACTCTCCTTTGGGGGCCCTGGGAGCTTGGCCAGGGCCCCGGCTGGAGCTTATCTCGGAGAGAGGGAGGAAAACAAGTTGCCTTTCTCTCAAGTGTTTGGCTTTCTAATCAGGAACAAGCGGAGGAGATGAGGCTATCTGCTGGCCCATCACCCAGCACCCACCTGGGCTCCTCCAATCCCCATCCACCACTGGCTGTGTGCATGGCTGGGTGTGATGTGCCCTCGAGGGCAGAGCGGAAGGAGCAGGACAGCAGGGTCCACGTGACCCAGTACTAAGGTGACCAGACGTCCCACTTTTGAACAATTTGTCCCGCGGCGTTTTTAAAAAAATCGGGACTTTTTTTAAAATGCTGCGGGACGCAGGACAAATTGTTAGAAATTAGGACTGTCCTGCCAAAAGCGGGACGTCTGGTCACCTTACCCGGTACACATCCCAGCTCTGCCACCGACTGACTGGCTGTGTCCCTTAACCTTGCTGGCCCAGCCAAAACCGATTTGGCTCAGTAGATAGAGCGTCGGCCTGCGGACTGAAAGGTCCCAGGTTCAATTCTGGTCAAGGGCATGTACCTTGGTTCCGGGCACATCCCCAGTAGGGGGTGTGCAAGAGGCAGCTGATCAATGATTTTCTCTCATCTATGTTTCTATTATAGCTCTCTTCCTCTCTCTGTAAAAAATCAATAAAGTATATTAAAAAAAACACACACAAAAAAACCTTGCTGGCCTCAGTTTCCCCAGGTGCACCATGGGAGTGATGATAGTGCCCGCCTCTTAGGACTGTTGCGAGGAGGGAGTGTGGCCAGCACCCGGTAAGCGCTCCACAAGGGTGGCCTCTGTCCCTGCAGCCAGGTGATGGGAAGGGTTCTGCTTCCGAGAGCAACAGCCTGTGCCCCAAGCCGTCTCTACAGCCCTGGGGAGGGTGTGCGGAGCCCCCGCACTTTCTCAGCCAGTCTTCCTCATGACCCTTCACACACACACGCACGCACACGCACACGCACACGCACACATACACACACACATACACACGTGCACCCACATACACACGTGCACACACATACACACGTGCACACACATACACACACACCCACACACATCGCTATGAACCTCAAGTCCCACCTCAGGTTCACACTGCCGCCTCCCAGAGGCAGGGGGCTCTGTGGCCTCCTGCTATGTCCCTCACAAGCAAGGCGGGCTTACCTACACTCCCGGGCCAGGAGGGAGCTTCTTTCTCTACAGCCAGAGGGGAAAGAGAAAGGTCGGAATTCTACGAATTTAAGGAATGATGCTTATGTTCCCCCTTGCAGGCGACTTTAGGAAAGAAGTGCCAGAAAGCCACATAATGTATTCAAAAGAGACGGGGCTTGCCTTAACCGGTTTGGCTCAGTGGATAGAGAGAGAGCATCGGCCTCCGGACTCAAGGGTCCCAGGTTTGATTCTGGTCAGGGGAATGTACCTTGGTTGCAGGCACATCCTGGGTAGGGAGTGTGCAGGAGGCAGCTGGTCGATGTTTCTAACTCTATTCCTTTCCCTTCCTCTCTCTGAAAAATCAAATCAATAATATATATATATATATATATATATATATATATATATATATATATGTGTGTGTGTGTGTGTGTGTATAAATATGTATATATAATTTTGATTTTTTACAGAGAGGAAGGGAGAGAGATAGAGAAACATCGACCAGCTACCTCTTGCACACCCCTACCGGGGATGTGCCCGCAGCCAACCTACATGCCCCTGACTGGAATCGAACCTGGGACCCTCAGTCTGCAGACTGATGCTCTACCACTGAGCCAAACCGGTTTCGGCTCAATAAAATATATTTTAAAAAAGAGAGAGAGAGACTGGGCTTGTCCTGGGATCAGAATATATCCACCCCGAGGCATACAGCTATGGCCTCTATGTGACAAGCCGGGCTTTGAATGTGACCTTGACTCCTGGGGTAAGGGTGCAGTGCCCTCTGTCTGCCATCTACCAGGCAGAGAGGCAGTGGGACATCTAAGACTCCAGGGCCAAAAGGGCCGGTTTTCCCCGTGCGCTCCCCAGTCCCAGGGCGGCCGGTTCCCTGCCCGCCTGCCGCATGCACTCCCAGTCAGGGCTCCCCATCCTGGCTGCTGGGCTCCAACCGGAGGCTGCAGACCAAGAGCGGGGGCGGGGCAGGGGGTGGGGAAGCCCGGGGAGAATGCAGAACCAACTAAAGCAGAGATAACGGCAGGCACCAGCAGCTACTCTGCAAGCCCACAGGATTCTCTGGCTCCCAAGAGTCTGAGTGTTGGCGCCAGGACCTCCTGGGACATTCTCTAGATAGTGTGTGGGGGTGGCGGGGTTGGGGAGACCCGGGGGGGGGGGGGGCGGGGGAGATCCAGGTCTTAGATCTGATAGGGCTTCGGCCCTTAGCAGTAGTGGGGGGGGGGCGGACACAGGCCCTCTCTCCGAGGCAGACCCTCTCGCTAAGCTCTGCAGCGTGTTGGGGTCCAGGGAGCTTTCTCCAGCTGAGGTATCACCACATGAACAGCCACTGCTCTTGTGCACCTGGGAACTTCAGAAGCAAGCACCCTGGCCAGGCGATCACTATAGTCGTAGAAATAACATAATACCAGGTAAAGCTTACGGAACCGTTTTAACGGGCCAGGCACTTTAAGCGTTATTAATTCCTTTCCTCCTCAAAACAGCCCCGTGCCATTTGCATGATCATTCCCCCAATTTTACAGGTGAGGAAGCAGGGCACAGAGAGGTCTAACACGCTGCTGTCCAAAGCCCCAAAAGGGTAAAGCTGGGGTCTTGGTCCTGGGCTGATCTCTGAACACACACCGTTCCCATCGGGGGTGGGGATGGTGGTGGGGGTGGGGCTCACCCCACCACTTACAGGACGTGGATGGGAGGTGGGGGTTCAGGGCCGGGGAAGGAGGCTTAGCTTGACCACAGAGCTGGGGAGGAGTGGGAGGCGAAGCCGCTGGCCCAGGCCCACGCAGGGGTCAGGGCACCGCCAGGTCTGACCCACCCACAGGCTGGCCCTCCAAACACCTACAGGTTCCATGGCTCAGCCTTGACTACCAGGCACTGCTGTCTCGGTCGGTGTGTGGCTGTTTTTAGCAGGGAAATCCTTCTAAGAACAACTGTTCTCTGGAAAAGCGGCTGACGGGAGGGGCTGGGCTGAGGCGGGCGGAGGGCCCGGTGGCTCCCGCCCCACTGGGGCACCCCTGCGAGTCCAGTCTCATTTGGAGGTTCTAGGAGGTGTGGCTGGGCATCTGGGACGGGTGAGGCAGAGTCAGAGGGGTGCGATGCGAGGAAGACTTGCCTGGCCACTGCTGCCTTCCAGGCGGCAGGAGACCACGAGCCAAGGACCACAGGCGGCCTCGGAAAACGCCGGAAAAGGGGAGAAAACAGTCTCCCCACAGCCTCCAGGAAGGAGGGCAGTCCTGCTGACACTCTAGTTCTGGCCCACAGAACCCCCTCTCCCCCCCCAATAAAGAGCGGTGGCCAGGTGGGGGGTGCGGGGTGCGAGGTGGGGAGGTTAATGGGGGGGAGGGTCATCTGTAATACTTTCAACTCTAAAGATCCTTTTTTTTTTTTTTTTTTTTAAATAAAGAGCTGTGGCTAAAACCTGGCAGACCTTCCCTGGCCCCTCAAACCCGGGCTGGCCCACCCACGATTGTGCAAGGCACACCAGCAGGGGCGGAAGTGTGGCCACCTCCATAAGCTAGGTCCTCCAGGTTCAAGATCAGGACCGAGGTTCTCTGGGCCTCTAAGTCAAAGTCCACAACGACACAGAAAGACAGGAGTCCGGATGTTCCTGTGCAGGTGCAGGGCCCCGCAGAGAGCAGGGTCAGGGACGAGGAGGGGCCGTCCTGAGAGGCAGCCCCTCCTCCACGGAGGAGGCGGAGGGGCCAGGCCACCTCTTGAGGGAGGAAGGGACAGTGAGGAGGTGGAGGGGGTGTCGGAGAGGAGGCGGGACGACCTCTCTGAGGACACGATGAGACTTAGAAGAGGGTCCAGAAACAACTCACAGACAGACAACAGTGGGGGGGGGGGGGCGTTCACCAGAGGTGAGGGGGAGGGGCAGGTGGAAGAGGGCAAAGGGGGTCCATGGGGATGGAGGACACTGGACTTGGGGTGAATACACAGATGCGGTGATGGAATGGCACACCTGAAACCCACGTGATTTCATTAACCAATGTCGCCCAATACATTCCATTAAAAAGAAATCGGGCCGAAACCGGTTTGGCTCAATGGATAGAGCGTCGGTTTGGGGACTGAAGGGACCCGGGTTCGATTCCGGTCAAGGGCATGTACCTTGGTTGCGGGCATATCCCCAGTAGGGGGTGTGCAAGAGGCAGCTGATCGATGACTCTCTCTCATCAATGTTTCTAGCTCTCTCTCTCCCTTCCTCTCTGTACAAAATCAATAAAATATATTTAAAAAAAGAAAAAGAAATCAGAATTTTACTCTGAATAAGCACTCGGAGATGACTTGTGGACTGCAAAAATCAATGTGTTAACATTCCGTATGTTGACCTACATGCAAATGCTATACATGTTTGATTTCCTTCGGAATTTGTCACAAGACAGCATGCTGCCATGTGAAATGCCCATTGATCTGTAACCTAAGCCTGAAAAAAATAAAAGAAATAAAGGAAAGAGGGGCCCATCCTGGCGCCTTGTCCGCCCTGAACTTGGAAACGCCCTGTGTCTGCCTTTCACAGCCCTTCCCCCTGGGAGGGTCCTGGGGGTCTCAGAGGGGTTGCAC